CTTCTGTGGTACAAACCCCAATGCTTTTGCATTGCCCCCTCTTCTTCACATTTAGACCTTTTATAACTAAGCTCAGGCATCAGCTCCTTTAAAAAGTTTCCCCTCATTTCATCAATCTGAGTTAGGGATCTACTTCAGGGCATACTTCAGCTGAACCTTTATCACAAAATTTTTCTTTTCCTCTACTTATTTGAAGACGGGGGGGGGGGGGGAGAAAGAGAGAGATCTTCCATCTGCTGGTTTACTCCCCAAAGGTCCAGAACTCCATCCAGATCTCCGATGTGGGTAGCAGAAACGCAAGTACTTGGCCATTATCTTCTGCCTTCCCAGGTGCATTAGCGAGAAGCTGCATTGGAAGCAGATTAGCAGGGACTCAATACCAGACACTTTGATATGAGGTGCAGGTGTTCCGAGCCGCAGCTTCATCTGCTGTGTCACAACACCCACCCCAACTCACCTCTTTTCATTTTACTGCCCCTCAGTGTGGCCTCTGAGAATTTTAATAAATTTATTTACTTCTTTATTTTGTTTACCTTCCTGAAGGCAGAATTTTCATCAGTTTTGTTCACTGCTATATCTTCAGTACTTCTATAACAGTGCCTAACACAATCTAGGGAATACCTGCTAAGTGGATGGATGAATAGAAGGATGGCTCATCTGTGCCAGGCACCATGCCTGGACCATAGTAAACCCTCAAAACTGTGGATTAAAATTAATATGAATTTCCATTTAAAAGGAGTGGCTGGTACTAACAGAGGAGTCATAGAAAAAGAATAATCCTTGCTTTAAGGAATTTATAGTTTAATGGAAAAATTCCAGGTGATATGGATATTTTCAAGGGGAAAAAAAAACAAAATATAAGTGCAGTTGCCTAGAACTGTCATAGTGTTTATCTTATTTATAGTTGTGACACTAGTGTATTACAGGCTTACCTTGTTTTATTGCACATCATATTGTGTTTAACAGATGTTGCCGTTGATTTCTCAACAATGTTGCTGTGGATTCATTCTGAGAGGAGGAGCGGGGTGGGGACAAGAGGCGCGGAGTCACCACACAGACCCCGGGAGTGGGTGAAAGCAGGCTTGAGGCGAGCAGGCTTGAGGCGAGCAGGCTTGAGGCGAGCAGCCCGCAGACTCGTTTATTACAGTTGGAACCACATTTTATATAGTCAAGACCAGCCAATCTAGTCAAGGGGCGGTCCATGCCCCAACCAATCACAGCCTGTTGCCAGGCAGGCTCCGTTGCCAGGTGGGTTTCAAAGCCATTCCTGAGTAACTGACACTCACTTGCCAGTGGCATGGCCTTCTCATTCCACCACAAACAGATACTATGCTTTTTACAAAATCAAGCCTTGTGGTAACCATGCATCAAGTAAGTCTACTGGCACCATTTTTCAAACTGCATGTACTCCACGTCTTTGAGTCACATTTTGGTCATTCTCACTTATTTCAAACTTTTTCATTATAGTAAACCGTGATCGTGATCTTTGATGTCACTGTTGCAATTGTTTTGTGGTACCACACACTGCACCCGTGTAAGATGGCAGCAAATTTAATCCATATATGTGTGTTCTGGCTGCTCCACCAACCAGCTGTTTTCCAGGCCCTCTTCCTCTCCCCCAGGCCTCCTTATTGACTGAGACACAGCAATACTGAATTTAGATCAACAGCCTCTACAAACAGCCTCTAAGTGTTCAAGTGAAAGGAAGAGTCACATGTTTCTCAGTTTAAATCAAAAGCTATAAATGATTAAGCTTAGTGAGGAAGTCACATCAAAATCTGAGGTAGACCAAAAGCTCTCTTATGCCAGACAAATTGTGAACATAAAGGAAAAGTTCTTGAAAAAAATTAAAAGATTCTCCAGTGAATACATGAGTGATTAGAAAGCAAACAGCTTTAGTGCTAACATGGACAAAATTTTAGTGGTGTGCACAGAAGATCAAACTAGTCATAATATTCCAGGCAGAAATCAGGAGCCAGGAACTCCTGGCTAGCACATGAGTGGCATGAACTCAGGTAATTGGGCCATCATCAGCTGCTTCCAGGGGTGTACATTAGCAGAAAGCTGGATTGGAAGTGCAGGCAGGACTCAATTCCAAGAACTCCAACATGGGATGAGGGTATACCAAGTGGCAGTTTAACCTGCTGCATCACAACGCCTGCTCTACAAGTCTTATTATTTGAGAAATATATTTCATAAGGCTGTATCTCCATAGATAGTTATTCCTCTGATGGATCTGAGACAAAATTCTAAACCTTTTGGAAAGGATTCAGCACTCTGGATGTCATTAAAGACATTTGTGGCTCATGGAAGGATATCAAAATATCAATACTGGGGTAGGCATTTCCCTGGCAGTAATACCTCAGGCAATTGGATCCCTGCTATCCACATGGGAGACTTTGATTGAATTTCCAGTTCCTGGCTTTGCCTAACCCAGTCTTGACTTTGCTGGCCTTTGGGGAGTGAACCAGTGGATGGGAGGTCTATCAGTGTCTGTCTGTCTCCCTCTCCATCTCTCTGCCTTTCAAATAAATGCCCACCCCACTGCATAGCTTAACAAATCTGAAACATGACATTCACATTCAGAATTTTTTTAAGATTCCCATCACATATAGAAGTAATTTTCAGGGGCTGGCGTTGTAGTAGGCTAAGCCTCTGCCTGCAGCTCCAGCATCCTATATGAGTGCCAATTTGTGTCCTAGCTGCTCCACTTCTGATCCAGCTCCCTGCTAATGGCCTGGGAAAACAGCAGAAAGATGTCCAAGTGCCTGGGCCCCTGCACCCATGTGGGGGACCTGCAAGAAACTCCTGGTTCCCGGCTTCGGATTGGCCCAGCTCTGACCACTGCAGCCATTTAGGGAGTGAACCAGGGGATGGAAGACCTTTCTTTCTGTCTCTCCGTCTCTCTGTAACTCTACCTCTCAAATAAATAAATAAAATCTTAAAAAAAAAAAAGTAATTTTCTGAGGTGGGTATTGGCATAGCAGTTAAGATGTTTCTTGGGAAACCAAAATCCCCTAATGGAGCACGTGGGTTCAAGTGCTGGCTCTACTCTCAATTGCAGCTCTCCTCTAATGTGTATCCTGGTAGGCAGCAGGTAGTGCCAAGTAGTTGGGTCCCTGCCACCTATGTGGGATGCCTGGATGGAGTTCCTGGCTCCTGCTTCAGCCTGGCCCAAGCCACAGTTATTGCAGGCATTTGGGGAGTGAACCAGCAGATGGGAGATATTTCTCTCTCTACATGTATGTCTCCCTTTCAAATAAGTAAATACATTATTATTTTTATTTAAAGGTTTGCTTATTTATTTGAAAGGGAGGGAGAAGGAGGGATCGTCCACCTGGTGGTTCACTCCCCACATGGCCACAATAGCCAGGGCTGGGCCAGGCTGAAGCCAGGAGCCAGGAGTTTCTTCCAGGACTTTCACGTGTGTGGCAAAGGGCTAAACTTGGGCCATCTTCAGCTGCTTTTCCAGGCCATTAGCAGGGAGTTGGATTGGAAGTGAAGTGGCTTGGACATAAACCAGTGCCCATGTGGGATACCTGCATGCAGGCACTGGCTTAACCCGCTATGCCACAACACTGGTCCCAATAAATACAATTTTAAAAAAAGATTAATTTTCTGAGTGGGAGGGCGGGTGTGGTAGGAAGAATAACTATATTCCTAAAGTTGTACTTATGAAATTTGTATTCCTTAAAAAATAAATTTAAAAAATATTCTTTAATTTTTTAAAACAAAATAAAAGTTTGTTAAACCTTAAAAAAGATTTATTTGCAAGCCTTTGGTTTATAATTCTGGATGGTGGGACAAGTTAAAATGCAAATTTCTGGACTCATTCAGCATAAGTCTTGATGTAGTTTATCTGGGGTTAATCAATTGCTGGAATGTACATTTTCAGAAGTACCACCCACTCCTAAATAATTAGAGCAGGAAATCTCTAAGACACTTAGAGCAACACAGATCAAAGTATAAAAATTGGCCTTCACTGAGATTCTCCTTTTTTCCCACCTCATTTCTTACTTTTTTCCACTTCTGGGACTTTCTGCTTCCACAAAAGCAAAAATTTTGCATTTCCTTTATGTACCAAACCCCCTCACACCTCTCTGCCTTTGTCCGAAGGTCTACCACAAACTGCCTACCATCTCCTAATGTGACATGGGTGCTGAACAGCTGCCGTGGCCAATGTTCTCAGAGGACCCAGGAGCACCTTTCCCCTGTAGCACCACAGCACTTTGTTTCCGAGAGGATGCAGGTGTACACAAGTGTTTGCGTGTGCCTCTCTGCTCACCCACAACTTTCACAGTATTTTGCTTGCACGTCTAACTCTGCTATGTGTGTCTTCCCTACACCATATACAGTTCTTGAAGTCTTCGTCTCTCGGTAGGGACCACCTTGACTGGGTTCCAAATTCTGGTTACGTGACTTGCCCCACGTTGCAGAGCTGGAAAATCGTTTTGCATGGTCAAAATCTGGGCCAAGATATTCAAATTCCAGGTGCAAGGTCTTTCCGGAACACTGTGAGCGCGTTTCTGACGACACTGCTACAGGGTGAGCACCCTGCATATTTTACGCCTCACCGGCAGCGTTTGCCATGGTTTTATCACAGTGTTAAATGTCTTTGGAGACAGGTCTTACCTCCTCCAGAGCAGGAGCCTCCTCAGTGTGCTGACTCAATCTTTGTATTCCTTGCAGGCCTAGTGCGTGGTAGTGGGATTAAAAAAAAAAAAAGTTGTTCTACCAATGACACTGTTTATACAACAGACAGAGCTAAGTAGGGATCATTTCAAACGGGCCAATTCCTGATAGTACTTTTCGCGCTTGCCCCGTCCCCACCCCTCACCCCAACATTCAAGAAGTTAACTGCTAGAAAGGCTGCAGCCCGAGTCCCCGACCAACGTCACAATCCAGACCAAGAACTACCCGCCCCAGAATGCCGAGCGAAAGTGGGCGGGCTTTCCGTGAGCCGAGGTTGTGATTGGCGAGCGGAGGGGTTTCCTTCCGGTGGGAAGGGCCACGGAGGCGGGGACTTGAGGAGGTGTTGCGACGCGATTACCGGGTTGGGCGGGGCCCTTCTGGGAGGGGTGTGTGGGTGAGCCTGGGTCCTCCCGCCCGCCGAGGAGATGGATGAGGATGGGCTTCCACTCATGGGGTCGGGCATAGACCTGACCAAGGTTTGTAGAAGACCGAGATGAACTTCCGGTGACTGGGGAGGAGGGGGCTGGGGAAGGGACGTCCGGTTCCCCGGGAGACCCCACTTCTCCAGGCCCTATCTTGGCCCTGGGCCCCTGTTCGGCTGACTTAGGAGGCTGAGTGCCACAATCACTTTCCTTGAAGAGGGACCCTCTCGAGTTGACTTAGTTGATGAGGGTCCTCTGTGAGCTCTCACTTCCTGTGTCATTGCCCGCCGGAGACAGACTGGTTGCGACCTTTAACCTCTCTTTTATCTAATCCCAGGTTTTGTGTATTTATATATGTTGGTTTAACCTGCTAAAAATCCGTGCTCGTGAATCTAGGGCGCGTTGTAAAAATGTTTCTGCAGGTGACACCCCACCCACAGTTTGGGAAAACAAGCTAATGACTATTCATAGTCCAAGAAATTCATATCACACCGCAAAATGTTCCGCTATGATGTCTGAAGGGATTGGGCGATCTACGTTCCTCCTGCCAAATCATGTTTGTTTTTACGTAACACAGGTGCCAGCTATTCAACAGAAAAGAACGGTGGCATTTCTTAACCAGTTTGTGGTGCACACTGTACAGTTCCTCAACCGCTTTTCGACAGTGTGTGAGGAGGTAGGTCTTGTGATACTGGGTTGTGGCATAGTGTAGCCGTCTCTTTGCCCTTCTGCGGTTGACAAATGGAGGAAAACACGAGCTACAGTCTCTGCATTCATCTACTGTGACCTCCCATCACACAGCAAATCCTCTTTGATTCTGTTAGGCTCAGTCCTGTACCTACCTCTGCTGAGCTTGGGATCCAGAGACCTCTGAGTGAGAGTTAAATCCAGCTTAGTGAAATTAAACAGAACAAAAGAGAATCCCCATCTTTTATTTGCAAAGCTATTTGTTCTCCTACCCAAAGATTTATATTTGAGAGTACACATTGTTTCTGTTTATAATAAAATTATTTTACATTCCTTCATCCAAAAGATGGCTAAGGGGTGGTAGCCCAGAAACATAACTTTGGTGTCAAATCTCATTTTAGGAGTAAAAACATTTTCTGCAAATGACTTGAGAAGTGAAGATTCAGTACCCAGTTACAGCTGTCTTTTAAAAAAACTAAAAAACATGGGGAGGAACACGTGAAACATGGTTTGAAATTGAGTTTAAGAAAAGAAAAAGAAAACTAAATCATAGTACTTAGATAATTCACAAGTGAGTCAGTTGAACATTCTGTCTTATAAAAAACGTAAAGGTTTACCAAATAGAATTTGTGATAGCTGCATTTTTATTAATAAAAGCTGCATGGAGACAGGAAAACTGTTTTAAGATTATTTATTTATTTATTTATTTGCAAGGCAGAGTGGCAAAGAGTGAAGGAGAGACAGAGGAGGAGAGAGGTCTTCCATCTGCTGGTTCACTCCCCAAATGGCCACAACAGTCAGGTCTGGGCCAGGCTGAAGCCAGGAGCTCCATCCGGGTCTCCCACATGGGTGCAGGGGCCCAAGTACTTGGGCCATCTTCTGCTGCCTTCCCAGGAGCATTACCAGGAAACTAGATGGGAAGTGCAGGGGTCAGGACTCAACCTGGCTTTCAATATAGGATGCCAGCATCCCAAGGAGAGGCTTAACCTGCTGTTTGACAATGCTAGCCACTAGTTATCAAAATGTTTTCTGCTTTCCCATTAAGACAAAAGAAAATGAAATAGATAATCGATAAAGAAAGGCATTCAATTCACTGCATTTTGTATTAATAGGCCCAGAAACCATCTCAGGACTGTTAGCAGAGAGGAACAAATGCTCCATCCCTGTAGTCCTGGTTAAAAAAGAAAAGCAAGGCAGGTGCCACGGCTCAATTGGCTAATACTCTGCCTTGCAGCGCCAGCACACCGGGTTCTAGTCCCAGTCGGGGCACCATATTCTGTCCCGGTTGCCCCTCTTCCAGGCCAGCTCTCTATTGTGGCCAGGGAGTGCAGTGGAGGATGGCCCAAGTGCTTGGGCCCTGCACCCCATGGGAGACCAGGAGAAGTACCTGGCTCCTGCCATCAGATCAGCGCAGTGCGCCGGCCGCAGCGGCCATTGGAGGTTGAACCAACGGCAAAGGAAGACCTTTCTCTCTGTCTCTCTCTCTCTCACTGTCCACTCTGCCTGTCAAAAAAAAAAAAAAAAAAAAAAAAAAAAAAAAAAAAAAGCAAAACAAGCAACACACCTATGAAAGCAACTTGATTGTGTTGCCCTAAGGCAGGGATCACCCCTACCAGTTTTCAGTTCCTGCGGAATGAGTCTCTGACAAAGTGAACAAGAATCTCATTGATGAGAGCCTTGTGAGTCACTCTTTCTGTTCCTCTTTCAACTTCTCTTGCAACTGTTCTAGTGGTATCCCATTTCTTAATACTTCCTGAAACTCTAGAGAAAAGTCTGTTGACCAAAAGCTCATGTAGTTTAAAGGTAGTCCATTGCCTCTTCTCCTTTTTTTTTTATCTTAAGGGGAAAGATAATATTATTTTAATTGACAAAAGTTATATGTTCTTATGGTGTACATGAGGTTTTGGTATTTGTATACATCATGGGATGGCTAAATCAAACTGTCTATGTATGTATGTATTACCTCACACACTTATCCTTTCTTTTGGTGAGAACACTTTAAAATCTACTCAGCAATTTTCATGAGTATAATATATTGTTATTAACTACATTCCCCATGATGTATAATAGATCTGTTGAACTTCCTCCTCTTGTCTCACTGAAATTTTAGATCTTTTGATCAGTGTCTCCCAATCCTCCTATTTTACTCTCTCTCTGTGTTCACCTTTTTTACATTCAGCCTTGTATAAATAAGATCATGTGGGTATTTGTCTCTTAGTGCCTGGTTGATTTCACTTAAAATAGTTTTCTCCAGGTTCATCCATGTTGTCACAGATGGCAAGATTTCTTTTAAAACTGAATGGTACTCCAAGGTGTATGTGTGCCACATTTTCTTTGAAACTTCATTCCTTGATGAACATATAGGTTGGTTCCATATCTTGGCTAAGGTGAATAATGTTGCTATGACCATGGAAGGGTAGATAGCTTTTCCTCATACTGATTTCATATCCTATGGGTGTATACCCAATGGTGAGATTATTAGGTCATAGGGTAGCCCCATTTTTTATTATTTTTTGAGAAATCTTCACACTGTTTCCCAAAATGGTTGTACTAATTTACATTCACAGCAGTAGTATATAAGGTTCCCTTTTTTCTATCTTTGTGCTAATATTTGTTATTTTTCATCTTTATGATAATAACTCTTCTTAGAAGTGTGAGGTATATCTCATTGTGGTTTTAATTTATAATTCCCTGATGATTTGTGATATTGAGCATTTTTTTATATTGACTGTATGTCTTTTTTTGAGAAATGTTAAGTCTTTTGCCCATTTTTTAATAGGGTTATCTTTTCCTGCTATTGAGTTAGTAGAATTCCTTATATATTTTGGATATTAACCCCTTAGAAGATGTATGATTTACAAATATAGTTCCCATTCTGTATAGTTTATTTGTTTTTGATGGGTTCCTTGACCATGCAGAAACTTTTTAGTTTGATATAAGCCCATTTGTCTATTTTTGCTTTTGTTGTCTGTTCTTTTGAGTTCATATCCAGAAAATCATTGCCCATGCCTGTGTCTTGGTGCTTTTTCCCTGTTTTCTTCTAGCAGTTTTGTAGTTCAGGTCTTATGCTTTAATCCATTTGAGCTGATTTTTTTGGGTACATTTTTAAAACTTTTTATTTGCTTTAAAAGCAGAGAGACAGAGACTGAAATAGGTGAAGATCTTCCATTGACTGGTTCACTCCCCAAGTGCCCACAATAGCCAAGGCTAGCCCAGGCTGAAGCCAGGACTCCAAAACCCCATCCAAGTCTCCTACTAGGGTGACAGGAACCCAAATACTTGAGCCATCACTTGCTGCTTCCCAAACTGCACTTTGTAAGGAAGTTCACATTAGAAACAGAGCTTGGACTCTAAACACTTCAGTATAGAATACAGGCGTCCCAAGAAGCTTCTTAACCACTATGTCAAATGCCCACCACCAGCCACAATGTATTTTATTAACCTCTATTAATGCTTATATAAAAGGCTTAACCTGTACAAATTGTAACAGTGAAGGTTAAACTTAGCTTTGATGTCATCAAAACAAGATTCTAATGTTTTCTTTTTAGATTATAGCTTTCTGAATATCAAGGTGCCCAAATAAAAATAAGTGTCCTTTAAAGAAGTACTGCCCTCTCTGTGGCTGCTTTCAGGTTTTATCCTCTTTGTAATTGCAGACAAAATGACCATTTCTTAGGATGTTGAAGTCCTGCTTGTTAGTTAGAATCTTGATAATAACCTAGAAAGCAGTCAGAATGCTGGGTATCCGCCAAGTAGTAAACTGGCCAACTGCTCTTGGACTGTGTGACTAAGTATAATAATGTTTACGATTAGGAGGTTTTAAATAAATGTTATTATGGATCATATTTTATGATGTTATCTGTGTGGGATACACACACAGACGCAGACACACATGAGGGTACTTCAGAAAGGCCGTGAAAAATGAAATTAAAAGAAAATTTTATTTTGGTGAAAATTTTTTAAATCTGTGCATAGTTTTTTCATAATTTGCATTTCCATGAACTTTTTTGAGGACCCGTGTGTGTGTGTGTGTGTGTGTGTGTGATTTAATCATGTGAGTAACGAGAGCATGTAATGTCTTTGTTCTGGTTTATCTTGGATTTTTATGGTAGATTACTTCTTTCTACTTTTTAAATACTCTAATTTTCTAATTTCAAAATTAATTGCTTATATTCCAATTTTATATTAATATTTTACATTACTCTTTTACTTCTCAAATTTGAAACATTTGAATTTGAGATGAACTGTAGAATGCTTATGTCTAAGTAATTTACAAAGGTAGATCCTGTTCCTGGCTGCCTTGGCAATTTTTTATTCTTGTTTTCAATGAAAAATTCCTTCATTCATCAACAAGTAATTATTAAGCTCCTATTAAGTATCAGGTATTGTTCTGGGAACTGGGGGTACAGCAATGACCCAAAGATTTCCTGAGTTGAGTTGATATTCTGATTGCTTACTGATTAATTATGAGTTTGCTAAAGCTGAAAATGTGACTTTTCCTTGTCAGTAAATATAATTTTATGAAATACCCATGAAGCATTCTAATGAAGATAATTAAATACTTGAGTTCACATTCCTGATCATGTAAAAAGGACAGTAATTTATTAGAAAATGACAAGTACTTACTGTGGTGGTTTTTATTTTCAATTTTGTGTTATGGGGCTAGCGCTTTGGAGTAGTGTATAAAGCGACCACCTGCAGTGCCGGTATCCCATATGGGCGCTGGTTCGAAACCCAGCTGCTCTACTTCCCATCCAGCTATCTGCTAAGGCCTGAGAAAGCAGTGGAGGAGGATGGCCCAAGTCCTTGGGCCCCTGTACCCACAAAGGAGACCCAGAGGAAGCTCCCAGCTCCTGGCTTCAGATCAGCACAGCTCCAGCCGTTGCAGCCGTCTGGGGAGTGAACCAGTGGATAGAAGACCTCTGCCTCTCTGTAACTCTGCCTTTCAAATAAATAAACCTTTTTAAAAAAAGTTTTTATTTTAATCAAATACTTTGTTCCTTTTTTATTAAGATTTATTTTATTTACTTGAAAGTCAGGGTGATAGATTGTCCATCCCTTGGTCAATCCCCAAATGGCCACAACAACTGGGGCTGGGCCAGGCTGAAGCCAAGAGCCTGGAACTCCATCCAGGTCTCTCACATGGGTGGCAGGGACCCAAGTACTTAGGCCATCTTCTGCTGCTTTCCCAGGCTCTTTAATGGGGAGCGGGATTCAAAGTAGAGCAGCTAGAACTCAAACTACACTACAACATGGAATGCCAACATTCCATAAAGCAACTTAACACGTTGCACCACAGTGCTAGCCCCAAAGGCTTTATTCTTATCTCTAAATTTTTATTTTTCAGAAACTGGCAAACCTTTCTCTTCGTATCCAGCAAATTGAAACAACTCTCAACATTTTAGATGCAAAGGTTTGTATTTCTGAATAATTTACAGTATAAACTTCGCAGTGCGTATGTCAGTTTTTTCAGTCATACTTTAAATGCATTTGAGAATGAATTCAGTTTATCTCTGTAAACATCTGTAAAGTGTAATAATGTGGGATTTTCTTTTTAATTTATTATAATTACAAGAAAATGGTATTTATTACTATGAAACATTAGCTGAGTCTATTGAAGTATACGCATGGATTAATATTCCTTTCATTAGTCAAAAAATAATCTATATAACGTGTTAACCAATTGAACTGTTATATAGTTCACTTCATTTGATGGAAAATTCAAAATTATTTTATCATTTTATAACACAGTAATAGTTGTATAAAACTTTAAATGTCTCCAGAACAAAATTCAGAGATAATATCAGCTGTTTAACATGTGCGTGTTAAAGGTGTTAAAGGAACAGTACATGTTTTGCCATCGACTTTAAGAGATAACCAGGCGAAACAGATTGTTGTTTGGAATTGAAGATTTTGTAAACAACAGTGACCTATTTAGTTTTTCTTGATTTTATTTTTAACATATTGTACTTATGTTTTTTCTGTTTATAAAGTAATGGATATACAGTTGTATTAATATTTGTAGAATTAGGATCAGAATGTAGAGTTATGGGCTTTGGCATCTGTGTTTCTCTTATAACATTTCTCTAACTTGAAATTCAGGGCACCTGACCATGAACATGTTCAAGAAATTCTCCTAGCAGTCATACCTAGTTGAAACTACTGAGCCATAGCCACATTGTTAAGTACTGCCGTCTGTCAACAGTTCTCAATGAATATTGCTGCTTGAGCTCTTATTCCTGTTGATTTTTCCTTCTTTATTATGAGTATGTGACTCACTTTAATGTTTGAGGAATTCTTATGGGGTTGAGTACAAGGTCAAATGTTAAGTTACCATATGAACAAGTTAACTTTAGTTCAATATTTCCATGGCCATAGTTAATTCCTAAAGTTAGCCAAATATCTGAAAAATGTGTATCATTGATAACAAGATTAAATCAGAAAAAAGAGTTAACATGAATCTTGCAAATTTAACCTGGAATGCTTCATTATTTCAGGTTAAAATTCTTACCCATTTCAGATTGAAGTGCTGATGGCATGCCCATTTTTTAGTGTATGAGAAACAACATTTTAGTAACATTCAGTAATAAATGATTAAAGACAAAAGAATGAGCTGTTATAAATTAAAATGTAAAGACAGGTTTTGTCATATATCAGACAATTTAAACTTAAAATATGTAACAAAGCCCTTTTGCTTACAAAGTATTTTATTTTATTTTATTTATTTATTTATTTATTTATTTATTTTTTGACAGGCAGAGTGGACAGAGAGAGAGACAGAGAGAAAGGTCTTGCTTTGCCATTGGTTCACCCTCCAATGGCCGCTGCGGCCGGCGAGCTGTGGCCAGCGCACCGCGCTGATCCGATGGCAGGAGCCAGGTGTTTATCCTGGTCTCCCATGGGGTGCAGGGCCCAAGTACTTGGGCCATCCTCCACTGCACTCCCTGGCCACAGCAGAGAGCTGGCCTGGAAGAGGGGCAACCAGGACAGAATCTGGCGCCGCGACCAGGACTAGAACCTGGTGTGCCGGCGCCGCAAGGCGGAGGATTAGCTTAGTGAGCCGTGGCGCCAGCCCGCTTACAAAGTATTTTTAACAAAAAATTTTTAAAACAACTTTGCAAGGCAAATTTTCTGATCCCTACTTTACAAGTGCGCAAACTGAGACTTCAGGAGTTGACACAGTGTTACAGCTAGTAAGCAGTAGAACTAGAGCTTAATCCTAGGCAACCTGACTACAAAGCCTCGTGCTCTCAGTCCTTACACAATAAGAATCTAGATATTTTAAAAATAACTTAGCAGAAAAGAATGATTAAAGCGAAGTTAATTTTTTGAGAAATTCCTCAGAAACATTTTATCTGTCAGGATATTTCACTTTGAGTTTATGATATGGAAAATTAAAGATGAGAGTTTATGAACATATAAAATTTATATAGGCTTAAAATTTAAGATAACTATTAGAAAATACACATCTAGAAATTTACAGTGTTTATGCACCTAAAGCTATCCTTATATACCAACACTAGTTTTCTTTTCTCAGTTGTCTTCTATCCCGGGCCTAGATGATGTCAGATTTGAAGTATCTCCTTTAGGTGTCACAAATGATTCACATTCTGAAGCCACTTCAGAACCATCACAAGTAAGTATTTAAGTTCCAAGAAACATGAGCAGATCTTCTCATTGAAGCTGATAAACCTAACTAGCAGGTTGGAGGAAGAAGTTAAATAAAAATGTTTACTTTTTATTAAAATTATTAAATCTTAAGAGAAAAATTTTTCTAGGGTGAAAAAAAGCTATTTTTATTTTGTTACTTTGAAGGGCTTCCTGAAGTTAATATTTTCTTTGTTTGTAAAAACTAAAATCAGTCGATCTAAGTTCTTAAGAGAAACATAGTTTTAAAATGTTTGATTATAAAATTTTTAAACATACACAAAAGTAGAAAAATGAATGCTCAAATGCCCATTACCTGAATTCACCAGTTAAGATTGTTTTTCACAGTTGCTTCATCTATCTTTTTGGACACTTGCTGAAATGAATCTCAGCCATCATGTCATTTTACCCATGCATAATTCCATAAGCCATTTCTGAAAAGTTTGGATATTTTCTTTTATAACTTCTATGTAAATGCTTTTATCATACACAGTACAATTAATAATTCTGTGGTCTCATCTAACTCCTTGTTACTCAAAGTATGACTCAGAGCAGCTGCAAGGACATCGCCTGAGGGCTTATTAGATATGAAGACTCTGAACCACCCCCTCCAGAGTGCTGAATCAGAATCTACATTTTCACAAGTTCCCTAGGTAGTTTTAGGCTGTTCAGATGTGAGAGTTACAGGTAATAGAAATACCAATTGTCTTCAAAGTATGTTTTTGAAGCTCATTTTTTGAATCATCCTATTTATGCCTCTGTATAATTTTACATATTTTACTGCTTTTAATTTCAGAAAATAAAAATTGTTCACTGAAAATAGACAATCTCTACTGTATCTCAGTGGGGTAATAAAATCCAAACTAAAATCTTCACTAAAATAGTCCCAGAGCAGTACTAAGCAAGTGACTTCCTATATAACTGAATTCTGTATTTTTTGCCTAGAGGTACTCTTTACAGGATATTTTTTAGATCATGGTGATGTTGGTAATGATAATAGCTAACACTCAAAATATGCTTACTATTTGCCAGGGCCTGCATACTTGTAAGTGCTTTTTTTTTTTTTTAACTTTTATTTAATGAATATAGATTTCCAAAGTACAGCTTATGGACTACATTGGCTCCCCCCCCCCCCATGTAATCTTTGTAACAGCCATATGATATAAGTACTGTATTATCAATCCTACTTTATACGTGAGTCGAATGAGATACACAGTGGGTTAAATAAATGGCTGAAGGTATTTTAACCCAAGCAGTCTGTTGCCAAGAGATCTGGCTCATACCTGCTACACTACACTACGCCATCTCTAGTACCTATATTCAGTTTATTAAACATAATGAAGATGTGTGGTGTGAATCCCTGTGGGAGATGCCTTTTACAGTGGGCTCTGTGTATCCATGGGTTCTGCATCTATTGATTCAACCACTTGTAGTTCAAAAATATTTAATTATGTTTGTACTGAACATGTGCAGTTTTTCTTTATTCCCTAAACAACATAGTATAAACAGCTATTTACATTGTATTAGGTATTTTAAATAATCTAGAGATGACTTAAAGTATATGAGAAGATTGTATAGGTTGTTTGTAAATACTACAACATTTTATATAAAGGATTTGAGCATTCCCGGATTTTTATATCCATGAGAGTTCCTAGAACCAATCCCCCCTAGATACCAAGGAATGACTGTATTTAGATATAGTTTGCATTTAAGGAATAAATCAGATGATCATTTACTTAACAATTAGATATTAGAAAACGTAACCTCAATTAATATAGTAAATTCCATTGTGATACAGTATACTTGTATATAATATACAAGTGGAAATTCAGATGTTGTAGAGAAGTTTAACTATACAAGGTTCTGTGAATTAAATATAGACCACCTTTTTTCTTTTCTTTTTTTTTTAAAGATTTATTTATTTATTTGAAAGTCAGAGTTACACAGAGATAGGAGAGGCAGAGAGAGAGAAAGAGAGAGAGATCCTCCATCCTATAGTTCACCCCCCAATTGACCGCAATGGCTGGAGCTGTGCTGATCTGAAGCCAGCAGCCAGGAGCCCCTTCCAGGTCTCCCACACGGGTTCGGGGGCCCAAGGATTTGGGCCATACACACTCTACCGTCCTCCCAGGCGACAGCAGAGAGCTGGATCGGAAGTGGAGCAGCTGGATCCCGAACTGGTGCCTATATGGGATGCCGGTGCTCCAGGCCAGGGCGTTAACCCGCTGTGCCATGGTGCTGACCCGACCACCTTTTTTCTAAAACAAGACATCTGTAAAGAATATTAAGTAAATATTCCCACTCTACTTAGTATTTATTCTTTGGTAGATAAAACTGTCATATAGCTCTATAAGTATTATCTGTCTTACTTTGAATATTAATTTCTCCAAGTGCTATTATAAATTTCATCTATGATATGTATTTTATTTTATAACTTTTATGCTGTTGTTAGTCTTTGCCTATTTAAAGTCATCAAATTGAATACAGTAATCACAGATGAATTTCTTAATTTGCTTCAAAGTTAAAAGCAATTGGTATAACTCTGACAATTTTATTCTAAAGTTGAAGATTAATTCCCTTAGAGAATTTATGACCGTCTGTTGGCTTTCCAAGTTTTAAAAAATGTGATAAAGTTGCTTGTTGATTAGATTAATAAAATAACTACTCAGTATGTTCATAATATTTAAGTCTACTTCACATTCCTTTCTTCATTGTTATTGATTGAAATATTTTTGAAATGGGCTTAACACAGAATTTCCATTTACATTACAATCAACTCGATTGTCAGTTAAAGAATTATGCAGTTGTTAAAGAAAGTTAACCATTTATCACCATCTCTTATCTATGTTTGAGTCAAAAAGATTTTTATAGAATGATTTTTTTGCAACTTTAATTTCATGGTTTACATTTTATCATTCATAATAGAACATCCAGTTGTACAGCTTGAGATTAATTTGAAAATAAAATGAAGGACAGTTGAAAGATGTAACAGGATTTAGTTGGTTATTCAAATAGCAAAGGTGTAAGACATTATATAATTAAACCTTGCTGAGGTATTGATTTTTAGGACAAAGTTAACAGCTGACTTGGAATCTGTTTGGAATGTAGTTCTTGTTTACTCCAGTTTGCTGATGTATGAGTTTATGTCTATAAGTTTTTTTAAACATACTTGGATCTGTTTGACTTTCGTATTTAATTAACAATGTTTTGAATTTTTCTATTTATGTATATTACAGGTGAATATATGTACAGGAATGTAGATATAGATATACACTCACTTTTGTAATACTTAACAGTATCATATCATAGGAAAAATCTAAAAGTTATTGGAGGCCTTTTTTGTTTCAGAGTTTTTGACAAGTTAAATTTATATGTGAATTATTTGAGGAAAATTCACATCCTTATTCCAAACACTATGGGAAGATTATGAAATGTTGATTTATCTGCATTTCATCATAAATACAGGGACATACAATTGATTTCATTTGTTAAAGAAATTTCTCTTGATGTTTATGTGCAGATAATGAATGGATTCACCAAGGTTATTCTAAATCTATAATTTGATAGAAAATTCAAGTATTATAAACTGGCAGTCCTACCTGTGCCCTTAAGCAAAGACAGGGCCAAACATCAGTTAACAAAGTACCGTGCACACTGAGGACTGCCTGTATAATGAAAGCATTTTTTAACCTATAAAACACTGTTCTCCAGTGTTCTTCATTGTAAGTAGTATATAGTATTTAACCTTAACCACTGTGTGGACAGCATTATCACTGATAGTTCTGTCAGCAGCTGAAAAGTACAAAACCAGCTAATTTCGTCTGAGAAATTAGTTCTTCCCCACCAATTATGCAGGCATTGCTTTCTAAAAAGTTAGAACAGCCATACCCATTTAGAATAAGGTGACTTAATAAATGAAGAGTTCAATAGGTGATAGATACTTATAAGTTCTCTGTCAGAGTTAATAGTTATCCTTGTATAATTCATATTTTGTATGAAGATTCTGGGCACAAGAGAACCAAAAATTTAATTTTTTGATGCCATGAGTATAATTGTGTTTTAAGGAACGGTTATTAAGTATAGCTTCCTCTGAAGTCATATTTAAGTGTTGGTAAATATTTGGAAATATACATCCAATAATTAAATTACTGGTGTTTAAATTAATTCAGAAGCATGATTTTTTCCTGTATAATTATAAAGAGAAACATCCCTTTTAAGTAATTTGATGGACCCCTTTTGTGAATTGTCTAAAGATTTACACCAAATACTCTCTACAGCAGAACAGTACACAAGACTGTGGACCACAGGAAAATGAAGTATCAGCAGAAAATATCTTAACTGTAGCCAAGGATCCAAGATATGCCAGATATCTCAAAATGGTTCAAGTGGTAAGCTAATTTGGACTGTCTTCTCTGTTCAGCAGCCTCATTTGAAATTCTTAACCCTGGAAGTTTCATTGCTATTTTTTTTCAATCTGAGGAAACTGCCAAACTGAGTGACCAAGTTATCTGCTCTCTCACTTCCTTTCGATTTTAGTTAATATCCTGATAAAAAATTCAAGTCAAAGCTTTCTAATTACAATTAGTCACACTTCAAATTTGCATAGTTTAATATAGATTTATGTAATGTTTTTGCTTTACACAAAGTTTTCAGTGCACATCTTGGTTGAATCAGCAAAGAATGAAAGAGGACTATTCATTTGGCAAATCATTTACTTTAGCTTAATTCCCATATACTAGCATAAATATTTTTAAAAAATATTTTTATTGTACTGTTTATTTAACAGTGATTTGATTTGTAAGATAGAACTTAATTCTCTTGGCCATGTCAGATTAGACTTTCAAAATTAGATGACTTCAGAATATTTGTAGTTGTCCATAATAAGACTTAAGAAGTTAATTTCATTCTTATAGAAAGTCCTATTATCATGGTTAAAAGAACCTGCTGGCCGGCACTGCGGCTCAATAGGCTAATCTTCCGCCTGCAGCGCCGGAACACGGGGTTCTAGCTGGATTCTGTCCCGGTTGCCCCTCTTCCAGGCCAGCTCTCTGCTGTGGCCAGGGAGTGCAGTGGAGGATGGCCCAAGTGCTTGGGCCCTGCACCCCATGGGAGACCAGGAGAAGCACCTGGCTCCTGGCTTCAGATCAGTGCGATGCACTGGCCGCGGCGGCCATTGGAGGGTGAACCAACAGCAAAGGAAGACCTTTCTCTCTCTCTCTCACTGTCCACTCTGCCTGTCAAATAAATAAATAAAAGAATCTGCTGACCATCGTTGTTCTGTTAACCGAAATATCAATGCCTTTATTTTATTGTCAGGCCAAAGAAGTACTAGTACTAAAGGAGAACAGTTAATGTTTTACTGTTAATGGCATTTAAAAAAAAAAAAAGAGTTATTTTATTTATTTGAAAAGCAGAATAACGAGACAGAGAGATCACCTGCTGGTTCATTCTCCAAAGGGCTGCAGCAGCTGGTGGCTAGGCCAGCCTGAAGGCAGGAGCCTAGAACTACAGCCAGGTTTCCCACATGGGTGGTAGGGGCTCAAGTACTTGGGCCATCTTCCACTGCTTTCCCAGGCACATTAGCAAAGAGCTAAATTGAAAGCACAGGAGCTGGGACTCTCCAGTATGGAATGCCAGCATCACACATGGCAGATTAACCCACTGCACCACACCACCAGTCCCTGTTCTCAGTTTGGTGTTTTATCACCAAAGCAATTTAAAAACGACTACTTTCTCTCACTACCTGAAAGAGTAGATTGGCTCATTTAGTGGTAACAAAAGGGGGAAAGAAAATACATTCACTTTCCCTAGCCATGGAAAGAAGTAGGTTTGTGACTTTTAGAACTGTTCATTGACAGTCAGTACCCTGGGGTCTGGGCTCCAGAAGAAATAAACTAGACTTTTAGGATAAAAAGTATAAAACTTTTTAATAAGAATAAAGTCAAGCTAGTTTGCCTATGAATCATGATGAATACACTTTTAAAGCTAGAACCCAGGAAGGCCATGCTTCAAAGATAGACTTATAAAAATGACAGTCACACAAAAGCAGAAGATTCAAAATGACTCATAAAGGATGTTTATATTAGTCTCATCTTACCTAACCTACCTGAAATAGGAAAGTCTTTTTCACACTATCTTTAAGAATGCCCTGAAATCTTACATGAAAGATTGTATCTTAGAATCACTTTGATATAATAGTCTCCCTTTATCTTCAGTTTCTCTTTCTGTGGTTTCAATTACCTGCAGTCAGTCACTCTAAAAATACCGAGTAAAGTTTTGAAAGTAAACAATTTGTAAGTTTTATGCTTCATTCTGTTAAGAGTAGCCTGATGAAACCACGCACAGCCCCATTGTTTCCCACCCAGGACATGAATCCTCCCTTCATCCAGCAAATCCATGCTGTGTATGACACCTACCTGTTAATTACTTGGTAGCCATCTAGGTTATCAAATCCCGTTTTTCTCTCTCTATCCCCTCACCTTCTCCCTCTCCCTCTCCCTCTGAAACAAATAAGTTTCAAAACTTGGAACTGCAAGAAAAGATGACAGTACCACATTACTTTAGAAAATGCCTTTCAGAGGTGAAGAGCCATTAGGCACTTGTTACAATCTGTACCATTGAATCATTCAATTTCTGTAGATACTGCGAAGGAAAATGCTAGATAATTTTAGGTCTGCACTCCAGGTATACCTTCCTGTTTTCTTTTTTTTTTTTTTTTGATGAGAACAAAGTCCTTTATTGAGAAGCTCGGAGGGGTGGGCGGGGGAACTTGAACCTGCGCTGGGGCTGATTCAAGTCCGACTTCTTCCTGCGCTGGGGCGGATTCAAATCCGGCGGCCGGGACCTTCCTACCGTGGCAGTCTCTGAAACCTGTTTTCTATGTTAATCTTCTAATCAGTAGTTCATTCTAAAGTGGTCAGTTTCTTGAGTGTGACAGGAAAAACATGATTCAGAGGAATAGAGATAGTAAAAAAAAAAAAATAAATTTAATCACTAATCCTAAGCCTCACCTCAACTAGTTCTGGAGGGCAGCTTCACTTTTCCAGTAAGACTGCAGATTTCATAAAATATCCAACTTTTGTCAACTTGAGAGGTTAGCTAAGGTTTCTCTTGCTTATCCACCTCTCAGTATTTAATTTCAATTGTTAATCTAGAGAAAGACTGATTTCGGCATAATCCATCAAAGGAGTTCTACTTTGTATATTGATGTGATATTCAGTAGTTTACTACCATTTTACTACAGATTATCAACTCTGAGTTTTAGAAGCATACATTCCAGCTTTTAGGGAATTGTTTATGTCGCTCCCCGTCTTCGTGGAGGAACGACACAGGACCCTGCGCTGTTCTTTCGTCTGCTCGGCCCTTCCCGGGTTTGCTGCTGGTTCTTCCCGGGTTGGCTGCTGGTCCTTCCCGGGTTGGCTACCGTCCCTTCCACCTTTGTGGAAGGGCGGTTCCCCCTGCCACATTCCCCACTTCCGCGGGGGAGCGGCACACCGCCGGCCGGCTCTCTCGGGGGCTGCACAGGTGTTCCCTCAGATGTTTCTGGTGCATGCCGTCTCTCTCCTCCTTTATAGTCCTCTTCCGCCAATCCTAACTCGGCTGCCCACACGCCGAGTACGCTGCTCTCCTCCAATCAGGAGCAGGTCCCACAGTTTATTGGTTGAACTGGAGGCAGCTGTGTAGAAGCTGTTACTCCCTTCTCAGCGCCATATTGTGGGAGAGCAGATGCATAGAATAAGTCTTAATTCCAGTAACTTAGTCTAGTCTGAGTTGCTCCCAGTTGCTCCCCACAGTTTATATTAACAAAAAGGAGCATAACATTCTGAAACATGAAAGTGTATTCCTAAGATTACAAAAGGAATTAGTACACCCAGGTTTCTCACTTCCTAGGAACAATAGTAAGACATTTATTTTTCAATTGTCTGTAGATTCTTGCCATTTAAAAAAATAAGTTACTACTTCGTCAGTAGAGTCTTCTATCTGTAATTCCACGTCTGCTGTGTTTCTTTTTTCCAAAGTATAATATTCTCCCACTCAGTAGCATCTCAGTGTTTAAGAAGCCCCTCAACAATCTTTTAACTTTTTGTCTCATGTGCTTCCTGAATTACTATTAGTGGTAAATAATAATATGACAGAGGGTAGAAAAGTGTTTCTTAAATCTTTCCAGCTTCTTCTCTGTTACAAAGTGCAAGAATTTGGAAACTACATCATTTACTTCAGATAGGAAGACATAGTTGGTCCTGCAGACTATGAAAGCAAGGTTTATTTTTCCTGACTTAACTCATGGTATCAGAATGAATTATAATCTTTCTGGTTGCCTCCCTAAACTGCAGTGAAAACTTCCTCTTCATGGGTCCTGGCTATCTCTTGGAATGTACAGCCTTTATATTTACCTTCTTACTTATCACATTTCTGTAAATATTTTAGAGTCTTAATAATCAAAACTATTTAATATAAACTCCTTTGAACAGAAACCAACATAATCTCTTCACTTGTCACAAGTACCAGTTCAGCAGAGCAATAAGAAGTACCTTGCTTTTTGGTTTCTATGCCTTTTGTTATTGTTACACCTTTCAGATATAAGAGTGGTTACAGTTCCAGAAAGTAGCTGTTCTTCTGAGAGACAGACAATTGGAACGTCTAGGAGTACACCTAGATCTCTACCCTGTACTGTTGAGATGCAAAATGTAGTTTCTTAGCTTTGCCAAGTACACTGCTTGTGTGACCATGTTCAGGTGATTTTCCTTGTCAGGGCCTCAATTCCTTTTTACGTAAAAGATCTAAAGTTCCTTCTGAATTTATGATGTATTAATTGATCCCCAAAGTAAGATTCTGTTATTAATGAATGTTACTGGAACACCTGCTGGCATTTTCTGAATTTTTTTTTCCTCTTAAAGCAAGTTTTACACAAGCTTCTTCAATGAGTAATACTGATGTGTTCCAAATGTGGCAGATAATTGATTCTGATTTAATGTTTGTTGTCATAATAGTGCAGCACAAACCTTTACTAAATTACATATTGCCTTTATAACTTAACTGGAATTTTGTACATAGATCACTTTTCCAACAATTCTCCCTTCTTACTGGCAGATCTTTGTGAATCCTTTGCCAGTAATAAATTGTGCATTGGGAAAGTCCGACTTCCACATTAAGAAGCTAATGACTTGTATTTTTTGAAACCATATTTGCCAGAACAGTCTCTTTGGACACTTAGATTTTTTTAAAGCTCTATTTTCTTTGGCTTACTTAAATGTGAATTGAATAATCTCTGGTTTTGGTGGTTCTAATGTGTTTGTTGCCAGCTGTGGATGTTGGCCTGGGGAAATGTGACTTCCATTACCTAAGGACAAAGAGGCCACCAAATGACTAATTAAAATGTTCATTAAGC